CCCCCCCCCCAATCCGTGACTTGACCCTACAGTTCCCGACAGAGAGAAGCACAGAGGCAGCGTGAGCAGCGAAAAGAAATGCAAGTGTATTTGCAGACAGTCGGGTACATTTCTGACGTACATCTGCGCAGTGGACAGAAGGGCAGGGCCGTCACAGGTTGGACAAGGAATGCCTACATTGTTACAGACTGAGGAGAGGAGGGACCGGCAGATGCCAGAGAAAGAGCGCCAGAAAAGACCGCCGCTACCGTGCCAGACGAAGAACGAGGACTGGCCCTCGCCGGGAGGCAGCCTGTGGGCAGCAGGACAAGGTACTCAGCTGCAATGTCACCACTGGTGCCTGTGGTCCTGGCTGCCTCCCCTAGGGCTGTGCACTTGCACACCAAAAACACACATGTGCACACATACACACTGTGGGCACACCTGCTACAAACACGAATATGCGCGCGCGCGTGCACACACACACACACACCCCGGACACCAAAGACAACACCATGTGCACGCCCACTCTGAGGACACACGCATGTGCACACACCCAGACACCGAGCACACCCATAGCCAGGACAGGAGCCCCACATCTCGTTCCTGAGCTTGCTGATGTCTACACGGGAAAGGGCTCCTGGGCGGCAGCAGGGGCCATGCTGAGTGTCTGTCCACATCAGCAGTTATGGGTCGGGGTCCAGAAGCGGAGGGCATGCGGTATGTGCAGGGCGCCGAGTGAGTGGGTCTCAGCTGGCCCGCCCCGAGCCAGTGGGTCAAGAGCGGCCCAACCTAAACCATCCTTCCGAAAACCTAAGTCCCGAGCTCAAGTGTCCACTGCCCGGGAACCTGACTTCCTCAGAAGCACCCTCCCTCATCTCTGCAGCCCAAAGACGTCCTGGGTGAGCTGCTCTGCGAGGACCCAGCAGGGAGGGGGCAGCAAGGTCCTTCCAAGGGGGCGGCAGCTGTGAGTGTGAAGATCACTCCTGTCAAAACAGGTCCTGACCACTACGCCAGCCTCTCAGCCACCAAATACCTCCTGACTAACCTTGTCCTTGTTTGGGGCCGGCGTGGGGGAGTGGGTGGGCAACACAGTCCACTGGATTATCAAGCCCAGAATCATGAATGGAAACAAGTTCTGCCCATAGGAAGCTGTGGCACTCGAAGCTTCTGCCTTCACAGAAGGGAAAGGGTGGGCAGGGCAGCTTCCCCAGGACAGACAGGCAGACAGACAGAGAGCAGCCCTGGCAGAGGCAAACGAAGGGACAACGGCCAGAGAAGGGGCTGCCAAGCACCGTGCTGCTGAGTGTTCCCGGCTCCCAGCAGCCCCGTGAAAACGCAGCAGCTGGATGTGCACAGGCGGCTGGGCCCAGTCTCAGATGGCACCCTGTCTGGGCCGCATGTCCCACGCCACATGCTTCCTGTGGCAAGGACGCACTGGGTGACTGAGTCAACGGCCGGTGTGCTGCGACTCTCTCTCACCGTGTCCCCTGGGCCAAGTCCACGAGCAACTGAGCACTTGTGCTGAGCGTGCCCAGGGCAGTGGGCCAGCAGGCCAGGCCCGAGGGATCGCAGAGTCTGAGAGGGGCGCGCAGGAGGGCCGCAGGCAGTTCAGCAGACAGGTGGCTGGTGGCCGGGAGGCTCTGGTGCAGTCACCCGGTGGTGCTGGCCCTGTGGGAGCTCCCCGTGCCCGCCCGCTAGGCTCTACTCCTTAGAGGACCAGGACCTTTTCCTCAGCGTCCCGCCGTCCACGCTGCTCCTCCTCCTCCTCCTCAGCGTCCCGCCGTCCCCGTTCCTCAGGAAGACCACGCTCCTCCAGCTCACGCTGCCGCAGCTCCTCCAGCTGCTGCTGCCGCCGCCGCCGCTCCTCCTCCTGCAACTAACAACAGAGTGAACGCCTTACTTTCCACCTGGACTTGCGCAGCCCCAGCACACAGGAGGACGAATGGATGGATGGATTGACAGACGAACGACGGACACACATACACGCTGGGAGACGACAGCACACAGCGTGACCACCACTGGTTCCAAAGAGCCGCCACAGCCCTCTGGGCACCATGCCAGGCAGTTCCTTGCAGAGATGACGCTGGTGCAGCAGGGAACAAGCCTGCCGCCTCACTTCACATGGAACCTGCCCGCTTGCCGCTCATCCCAGCCCAGCAGGAGGCCTCCCCACCCCACCCCACCCCAGTCTGCTCACTCTGCCAATAGGCTGAGCAGTGCTGTCCTGTCCGCCTGTGCGGGGTACCTAATCCTCACCGAGCACGCAACTGGCTCAGGCCCGTTTGCTCAGCGCTATCAGCACATTAGCACCCAGGCTGCCCCCAGCCCACCCTGCGAGGGACAGTCCCTGAAGTCCTGCCCACTTTGTCACCAGGACACAACTTGGCTGCAGCTCTGAAACTCGGCCCAAGGCACACCATCCTGGCACCAAGTCCTGACTCAGTACTTATGAAGTGCAGGCAGAGCCTGGCGCATGAGTATATGCCACCCTCGATGGCCCGTCCCCATTTCTAGAAAACGCTTACGTCCTCTAAGCTGCTTATATTATAGCAAGATGGACAGCACACCCACCAGTAGACTGGAACGGTGCTTGTGCACACTTACAAGTGGTGTGTGTGGGGAGCAACCCCGTGGGGTGGGGAGGTAGGAGGCCTGTTCACAGACAATCCCAACAGCCCGCCCAGGTGGAGGACACTGAGGAGAGACAGCCCTGGGGGCTTTGCAGCAGCAGCAGACACTGCCGATCCGGAGGCGAAGCCCAATGACAAAATGTCTGTCACCTATCAGGTCTGCAGTCCACTCCCAGCCCTGGAGCCCATGTTTTCCATGAAAAGAGCTCTAAGGAGGCGTGAGAGTGGCCGTGTCATAGTGGCAGCACAAATAGTTAAGCATTTGACCACTACCTGGAAGCCTGGCAGTTCAAACCTAGCCCAGGGCGATGGACGTGGAAGGCCGCAGCCTTGAAACGTCTTGGAGCAGTTTCTGTTGGACCCAGCTACCCATGTGGTGCTGTCGCCCGACAACTCTTAACTGCCCAGATTAATGTTGCCCCATGTGCGGCTCCCAGGAAAGGGTCGTCCGTCCTGCCTGCTGGCAGAGACCTATGCCAGCACCAGAACAGGACCCCATGCTTCAGTGCTGTGCCACGGGAGCTGCCAGCGCAGAGTGGACACTGGCACATGGATGTGCCCCCTCCCTGCAGCACATAAAGAAAGCAGACGCGCTCTTTTCACAAGTGCCTAGAAGGGTCTAGAAGAGGCGCCAGTGGTGTGGGGGATTAGGCGGTGGTGTGGGGGATTAAGCGCTGCAAGGTGGCTCCGGCACCCGGCTGGCTCTTGGTCTGTAGCCTGGATTCTGCCAATGCCTCTCAAGCATTCCTGAAATGCTGCAGGGTCTCCCAGGTCTAGGTGGGGCTCTAAGCAGCTCACACCCACCCTTTCTCTCAGGAGGAGCGGGGTGCTACAGTGGGCCGGGTGTGCACACCGATGGATGGCTATCGGTGGTGAACCAATACTTCTGACACACAGTTGGTCCACCCACAGGCAGATAAGGGCCTCCAATAAGTGTCTCCCTGGACATGTAGCTCCTGGAAGAAGCCCCCACAGCGACCCCTCAAAGAGGTATGCTGCGGTCCTGAGCCTGCAACTGTTGAGTGACCTCACCCTGGAGAACAGGTCTTTCTCTGGAGTTGGGGGTGTGGGGATGGGGGCAGCATCGCCCTTGGAGCCCATGCCCACACGACAGCCATCCTGCACTAGAGCTGGTCACATAGGGGACCAGGAGACCAAGCGCTCATTCTAGCTGAAAGTCAGCTCACCTGGTGGAGGCACCAGGGGGCAGGCAGGGTCTGGGGGAGAGTGGGCGGCCAGGAGTGGGTTATGTATAACAGCAACAGCGGGTAGCAGGGAGTCAGAAGGCCTGAGGGGAAGGATAGGCGAGTTACTCAATGTCCAGGTAGTCATATGCCCCAAGGCGAGGACGGACAACTGACCAGTGCTCGGCCAGGGCCAGGGCCAGGGCCAGTCACCCCTCAGACAGAGTAAGGGTCCCAATGCAGCGATCCTGTCACCAGTAACACGCACTTACAGCAGAACTAGGCCGTGAGCTCCCTGGGGGCTGGGCATGGGTCAGCATGAGGGGACTCCCTCACAGGCCAGCTCTGCACTAGCCCTCTGCAACAACTCCTGCCGGATGTCCCGTTTCCTTCCAACCCACTGCTGATCCTGCATGCAATGGGGCTGCCGGCACTCAGAGGCCGCCTCCAAGGGCCCGGCACACAGGATCCCACCTAGTACTCTCGGCCACCTAGCCTGTGTCTGCATCAACAGTCAACCAAGCGTGTTTCCTACGGTCTCTGCCTCACACAGAAGAACCTCAGCTGGAGAGCAACAGGGGGTGCTGCTGCGGTCAGGGCCCCTGAAGGTCCGCCCTGCAACTCCAGGAGTCTGACTCTCAGCACACGGGCACCCAGGACGGCAGGAGAATCTGCTCTGGCAGGACCACTCACTGGTGTGGCTAACCATGAAAGCCCAAGTACTGTTGAAAAGGAACAGGGCGTCGACAGCCCGCTCACTCGCCTCACTGAGCGCAGCCCCTGGTGTCAGCCCCACTCCAACCACAAGCGCCGGAAGCCTGGCTGCAAAAGTGACAGGTGGCCCTCGCCACGCCCCTCTACCTGCTCACACATGGTGACTACGTGACAACACACAGAGCAGGCCCCAGGACGAGAAGGACACTCAAGCATGCGTGTAGGGCCAAGAGGCGCCTAGGTGAGGACAGCCCTCCGGGCAGCAGCCACGGAGCACAGCACGACACAGCCAGCACAGGAAGAAGGGGGCGGGCGGGGAGGGCCGGGCAGAGGAACGAGCACATACCAAATCTAGAACAGAGATTGCTGGCAGAGCAGTCTGCTGCAGGACAGAAGAGAAAAAAGAGAGATGACGTGTGAGCACAGTTAGGTTCCGCCTGGCACTGAGGTGGGTGTCTCCGGCGGCCTAAGAGCCGCCCTGGGGACTCGGGGAGAACCACACACCGGCTCCCAGCAGCCCCCACTCCCAGATGAGTTTCTCCATGAAGAACCTTGGAAACTGACAAGCTTAGCCTCCCAGGATGGACCATGACAGAGAGGACTGTGAAGTACGGGATCTTGAGAAACTTCTGGAACTCCGTTAGAGGCAGGGAAGTTTTCTGCATCCACGCATCCCCATGGGAAAGAGTTGTGACAGAACTACTAGCGTGGAGCGGGCGCCTCTCCTGGTTGCTGGACGGCGGCTGACGTGGCAGGCAGCAGTCAGGGACTGCCCGGCCCAGTGAGGGCCGCACACAGGGCGTCGGGGGACAGGTCTGGGGACCACAAGCAGGGTGGCCTGTCTACTGACTCAACCTGAGAAGTGCCCACAGGACGCCTGGCCCGAGTGGAGGGGGGAGCACGCGGACAGCAGCAAGCACAGAGGACAGTCACGGGAGTGGGGATAGCACCGAGTGGCACCTGAGGCTGGAAGCACACGCATACGGCACTCGGCAGCTCAGTCAACCCTGCCGGCTTAGGGACCCCACCGCGAAGTGCAGGGCTGCGGGTAGGTGAGCGAGGCCCCAAGAGGGAGGCGGTGCTGGTGGGGGCGTGGCTCGGGCTCACTGTCCTGGGCTCACTGTCCCGTGGGTACAGCCCTGCTGGCCTGTGCCAAGGGGCCCTGCTCTTCCCTAAACATGGCGCCTGACAAGTCCTTTCACTTAAGGACTTCAGGTTTGCCTTTGCTCTTTCCGTTGAAAGACAGAGACAAACCTCACCCACTCTCACGCAGGCCTAGGGCCCCTTGCCCTCCGTGCCACAGGTCCAGCCCCTCCCTCCACACAGCTGCTGCAGAGACACGGCTTCTGGTGAGGACGTTACAGGATGTGCAGGGAGCTCCCCTCCCTCCGTTAGCCGGGTGGTGGTGGTCTGGGGCAGCAGGCAGCCCAGCACTGTGGTGGCAGAGCTAATGTGTGGCCCCAGGGTTTTCTTTCTGAGTCTGGGCCACGATCAGCACAGGCCACTGGCCAGCCCTGCTCTCTCTCTCACAATGATGCATCTGGGGACACGTGGGGGAGACGTTCCCTCCAGGCTGGCCCACCCGCCCGAGCCCATGGCCGGGGGGCCCCCTTTACCCGGGCTCTCCTCTCGGCCTCCAGGCGCTGCATGACCAACAGGGCGTCCACATCGTCGTCGTCCTCGTCGTCGTCCTCGTCGTCCTGCTGCTTGGACTCCTGCAGCCGCTTCTGGAACTGCCACTCCAGCATGAGCTTGCGCAGCCGGTCGCTCTCCTCGGCGCTGCGCTCGGCCTTGGCCTGCAGCTCCTGGATCTCGTGGCTCAGCATGTCCACGATGTGCAGCTGCTGCTGCTTCTCCAGCTTCTCTCGGGCGTCCCGCTTCCACGGGTCTGGGGACAGGCTGTCTCCAGATGAGAGCTCCTCCCGGCTGACGGTGATGTATTGCAGGTCGCGCCGCTCGATGGTGCGTGGCTGCTGCTGCGGCTGCAGCTCTCGGATGACCGTGTCCTGTGGCCGTGGCAGGCTGGCCGGCTTCTCGGGCTTGGCCGGGGGAGGCAGGGGCTGTGTGCGCATCTGGCCCAGCTTCCGCTCCTGCTCGCGCCGCTTCCGCTCCCGCTCTTCCTCCAGGCGGGCCTTCTCCTTCTCGTACCACCGCTGCTGCTCCTCCCGCTTCTTGCGCTCTGCAGCGGCCGCCTGCACGGACGAGGTGCAGGCCTGGCTGGCAGAGGGGGGCAGCGGCAGAGGTGAGTCCACCAGCACCCCATCCAAGTCGCCAGCATAGTGCACAGGGGGCGGTGGTGGTGGTGGGGGCAGGTCCATCCGCATGGGCTGAGAGATGGCCACTGGGATTGGTGTGATGGCAGCTGGGGTTTTCCAGCGGCCAGGGCCGCTTTTAGTTAGTGTGGACGCGGGGGTAGCCGACTTCGAGGAATGGTTCAGGTGCTCCTGGCTGGATGTGCTAGACTCGAGGGAGGAGCTCTGGTTTAGCCACATGTCGCTGTCCGACTTGCGGTCCACCCCAGCCGCCATGCGATGCTGCTCAAGCTGGTAGGTTTGGTCATCGCGGAGTTCCTCTTGGGACCGAGTAACCCGCTGGAAAACAGGAGAAAGAACCGTCACAGTCACCTACAGACTGGGGACGCTTTCCGCAGCTTCTCATCTGCAGGGAGGAAGCTCCAGACAAGGGCAGTAGGGCGCCCACAGTGTCATCACTTGGGAGAAGCAAGAGACACTGTGCCCTCTGTCATGTCACCGTGGCCTCCAAGAGGGGCCGGCCACACCCTCACTTCCTCTCTGAGGTGGCCAGGCACACACTGCTGACTAAGAACACACTGGGGCTTAACCATGACCACCCCTCCCAGAGCCAAGATCATCTGATCATCACCCAGAGTGACGGTCGGTCATATGTCCTTTTGTCTTAACTTGAGATGAAGCACATACAGGCCCATGTGCCTCTGGCTCCTGCTCGGACCCGGGCTGGCAGTCACAGAACACCACAGCCTCAAGCTGTCCATACCCTGCTGCGGGGGTGGGGGTGGATGGAGGAGAGAAGGGAGAGCTTCCCCCAGCTTCTCTCTGGAGGCAGAAACTTCCAGATCACTGGGGGCACAGTCTACTGAGCCCAGGGTCCAAAATTTAAGCCATCAGCACCCAAGTCTTCAGACTCAACTTTGCTGCTGGCCACACTGCCCAAATCCCTCCCCAAAGGTCCAGCCACACCTCCCCACCCCGTCCTCAGCGAGGACACTTGGGCCAGCTGGGCATCCTTGCTCTTCCCTCTATTTTCCAAGGCCAACCAGGCTGTAGCTATCACCTCACCTTCACCCTGCAGGGCAAGGCCAGCCCGAGGGGGCTTCTGGTCTCTGACATAACCATCCACAATGCTCCCTTGCTGAGCTAGAAACCCCCAACATCTCAGTCCAGGCTGCTGTCTCCGCACACACACAGCCCTGCCACGTCTCCTCAGATGGTCCGGTCCACTCACTCGCATGCACGCTCAGGCCACAGAGAGCCCTGCCACGTGAAGCACGCTCTCTTGCCCCACCTTCCCAGACTCCATCACAAAGCCCTGAAAGGAGACCTTAGGGACGCCAGTGATAGTCTTGCTGTGCAGAGCTTCCCCCTGAAATGCCACTCTGTTCACCTGAATGACCATACTGGGGTGATCACCATCTGGGTGTGGATGAGGCTTCTCCTCATAGCTTGACCATGGGCTCTGTGGAGGGCCAGTCCGATCCTGGGACTTGGAAGCAGGGAAGGTAAAATATTCTCTAGGGCACGTCTGGGTGGGGATGGGGTACGCTTCAGGTCTGGGTGGCAGGCTCTGCTCCTGGGGAAGAAGGGACAAGGGAGAATTGGCTGCTGAGAAACGAACGGTGCATCCAATCTCTGCGGCAGCAGGGCTGCTCAATCTCTTTCCATTACCCACTGCCACCGAGTTGCCTCGGATTGACTGACCCCACAGGGCAGAGAAGAGCTGCTCTCCTGGGTTTCCAGGCGAGAACCCTTCACAGAGTAGCCTGCATGTCCCTCCTCTCCCACACAGTGACAGCCTTTCAGTGACCACTGAGCACTAACGTACTGTGCCAAATATCAGCTGCACATCCGGGCACCTGTCCCAGCACAGCTTCAGAGAGCCTGCCTGCAGGGGGACATGGCTGCCCCAGAGGAGCTATGGGAGGGGCTACGTCAAGCGCAGTGGCTGTTTGAGAGGCGCCTGTGTGTGAAACCACGTGAGGTGTTGCAGCTAATCTGAAGGAGCCAGCGTGGGGTGTGGGGCCTGTTCTAGGGGAGGCATTTGTGAAGTTGGGAAGTACCCAGCCCCTGTCCAGACCTGACCTCAGTGCACAGGTTCCCGGTGGATACAGAGGTGATCTTGGCTGTCGTGCCTGTGCTGTACGCGTGCTTCCCTCCGGGACTAGGGGGCTGGTCTGTTGGGAAGAGGGAAGAAGCAGTCAGTGTGGATGCGCACAGAAGGAAGGTAACATCTGAGGCCAACCTGGCTGCAGGAGCTCAGCTGGGCCAAGGGCGCATTCTGCTCCCCACTCTGACTTTAATAGGTATGCCCGATACAAAAGCAGTGGGGAGCTGGTCACCTCTCTAGAGCAGAGGCACCGGTGCCCTTGTCTAGAGCGAGCACCCCTCACCCCCCACCCGGCTCACAGCTGGCCCTCCTGGCCCTGCCATACACCTGCCCAGCCTTGCTGCTGGGGGCCCATTGGGCACGGGGACGTCACTGGGAGGCAGCTCTTACTTGCCACGTTGGGACTGGAGCGGTGATCTGCACGATTCTTCATCAGTCTGTCGTCACCCGGCAACATCTTGGGCTCACTGAACTCCGCCCACGGCAGCTGTGGGCTCTCAGGGGACCCGTTCTGAGCTGAATTATGATAGAGCTCAAAACCTTCGCTCTTGGGCCGGGGTTTCCCAGAGGCTCCACGGCGATCTGAAACTGAAAGCCAAGCCCGATGAGGACACGCTTGTTTGCTAAGGGTCCGTCCTGGTGAGCACTGACCCCGCACCTGCATGCAGCACTTGTTCACTGTCAGCATGAAAGCAGACTTCACACAAAGGCACAATCTGTCCACAGAAACTCTAAAAGTTCCCAAACAAGTACACTTTTGAAGTGTGTTTGAAAGAAAGAGGAGGCCTCCTGCTCCCACAGGGGCAGTCTGCCTGTGTGGTGTTCTTCTCAGATCCTCAGTCCCCCTGCTAAGCAACAGACACACTTCCAAGTCTCACTGCTTTGGTTTGTCTCGAAAGGCCGGGGCCACACCGCAGGCCTGCACCAGAGAGCCGGTGGCTGGGTGCCTGTCCCCGGCCACACCGCAGGCCTGCACCAGAGAGCCGGTGGCTGGGTGCCTGTATGCCTCCTGCTTGGTTGTGAGCCCCAGGCGCCGGCTTAGATTCTGACTTACTGCCACCACAGCCCTATCTAGAGTGCATTACTGAGACTGGTCAGAAAGTACTTACTCATTTCAAAGACAGCGCTGAGTCACCGTTTTATCCTCTGTGACTCTACATATATATGTACATGGATTTACGGCGCAGAGGAACCACTGCTCTTCTCTGCACGGCACCGAGTTTGTCGTCTGCCGTGAAGTCTACGGAGCTAGGGTCTCTCTCCTGTCCCACCCCAGCAAGTGCAGCAGTGCCAGGCACGGCTTCTACACAGGTGCTCACAGCCATTGCCTTACGAGTCTCTCTACACTTTCTGTTCTGTCTACCTGCCCACCCCCACCCCACCCAACTTGCTCGCCACACACAAACATCTACTGTGTGCCAGGCACTTCAGGGGCAGGGCGGGAGGGGCGCCTCAGCAGCAGCACATGGGCTCCACCAGGGTCTCGTTGAAGGACCCAAGGGAAGAGGCTCCCAGCTTAGATTTGAACCCTAGCACCTCAAGTACCTTAGTTAAAGCGCCCACCCTCGACTTGTTGACCTTTGACACTGGGGTTGTGTGACCGCTAACAGGCCTGGCTTACGGAAGGTGTTGCAGAAAAGACAAGCAATGCCAGCAGTGCGGGAGGGTCCTTACTTCTCTGCATCAAGGGGGATGGCTGGCTGAGCAGTGTGGCAAGGCCGTGGTAAATGGCTCCTTGTTTGGCAACTTCCAGTGTCACCACTGAACTCGTTCTGGTCATGAGCTCCGCAGCCCTGGAAGAAAGTGCAGAGCAGTTGGAGCCATGAGCGGAGCGCCACCTGGCCACATCTACAGACGCCACCTGTCCTCCAGGTGGTGCTCTTCCACACCCTACCCCGTCAGGAGGCACAGGTACATGTTCAGGAACTCCAGCAAGTTCTAGAGCGTTGGTCTTTTCTTGTTTAAACTTCAAAGAAACCTTTCCACACCCAAATACCAATGTGCAACTTGCTAACCAGCGGAATGTCGCACAGACGAGGAGCTTGACTTGCTGGTATGTACTGCTCTTCCTCCTCCTGGAATCCCAACCCCGCACATACAACGTGGCACCCATTTCCCACTCCCAGCAGGCCCACCTCTCCTGAGACAGCCCAACAAGGCTGCGTCCGTCCACGCTGAGGAGCTGGTCCCCGGCTGCCAGTCGGCCGTCCTGTGTGCACCCAGCACAGATGTGTGCGTGTGGGAGACATGAAGGCGTGTGGTTGGGTGTAGGGAAGGTGGAGAGGAGGGGGGGGACAAGAAAAGGCAGTTAGTACAGATCAAATTTGTGCTCCCACACACGTCTTTCTTTTAGACAAACGCCGGGTACGTTGAATCAGACACATCAGTGAGCCCCTCTCGCTGTCTCTGCTGGTTACAGGCACCACATGCAGAGCCCACCCTTTCAGACAATACTTGCCACGTCGGCTGCGCCTCCCTTGACCACGGACTTAACGTAGATCCCCAGCTTATCTTGCCCTGCACCCTGGCAAAAAGAAGAAAGGGTAAGTGAGGCACAGACACTGTGGCAAAGCCTGGAGAGCTGGCCGTGGCTGTGTTCACAGCACTGGTTCTGCATTGGGTAAACGACGACGACGATGGCGGAGATGTCACCATGTTGTCTTAAAAGTAAAAACACAGAGACAAACGTATGTATCTCCAAAACGAGTTCTTCCTGAATCATGGGATGCTACTGTTGGAAGCTGTGCCTAGCCCTGCACCTTCCTCCCGGCGCTGCTGTGCTGGAGGGAGCCCTCCGCGGGGCCAGCGTCAGTCCATCTTGGGAGGGTCTTCCTCACTGCACAATGACGTGGTACTAACGAGCGCGAATGAACTAATGTCCAACTCCAGGGTCTAGTGCCTCCAACCATGACACCAAGTCTTACGACACCGGGTCTAAGAAGCAGTCTTAGATCGCTGCTGATGTCGACCTGTGAAGATGGAATCCTTGACAAGTGAATTTTTTTCTCCGTTGACCATGAGGTTGTCTCCTGGTCTGACTGAGGGATTCTGTCTGCTCTCCATGGACGTGGGAGCCACACTGTGGGGTGCAGACCTTGACTGTCATCAGTAAGTGGCGCAAGTCTTCCTTGCTCTCAGCGAGCAAGGCTGTGCCATATGCACGTCGTGCGTCTCGCAGGCCACTAACGAGCCTGCCTTCCATCCGTCCTCTCTTTGCTCATCACACACACTGGCTAAGCATGGGAAGGACACAACCCTGCTGCACACGTTCCGATTTGAAACCACGGTGTCTCTGCTCGGTTCCAACAACAGCATGCTGAGAATACTAAAAACAGACTTGGAGTCCTGAAGACAATTTGAGAACATGCCAGTGAGCTAAAAACCACCTGGAGTGATCGAATCCACGCATCGTCTTACTTTAAAGCGTGCACCGTCACAGGCCACGTCCTTTCCACGCGCAGTTTGATGACAGGAGAAACCAGCTTCCTGTGGCACGCAGAGGAGCGAGCAGTACGAGGCTGGGCACAGAGCACACTGAGAGGTGCTGCCGAGTGGGCGCCGTCCCATGGCAGCAGCGCAGCACTGCTCGGTGTGGCCCCAGCTCGCAGTGGCTGTTATGTCGGACCCGTGGGTGCAGCCACTGTGACAGTGCATCTCATGGAAAGTCTCCCCCCTTTTCACTGCCCCTCCACTTCACTAAGCAAGAGGTCCTTCTGCAGGGACTAGTTTCTCTTGATAACATGTCCAAAGTATGTGAGCCAACTCAAGGACCACGTAACGTAATTCTAAATTTCAACAGTAAGTGAAAAGACCCAGCCCCCACAGAACTGCTGTGCTATACAAGAAGGATGAAATCAGGTGGGAGAGCCTGAAGTACCACCAGGATGACCTTCAGAATCACCAACAGTCTAGCCCATACGGACAGCACAGCCCTCACATCAAACTCAGAATGCTGAAACCTCGCTCGGCATTGCATTTACCAGGTAGGCAATCCTACGCATTAAACCTCAGTGGGATGTATTCCTTAGGTCACACCAAAAGCAAGTGTCAGGTTATATCAATGTTGCTTCTGATAGGTGCTGACAGTGACCCCGTGGGTCCAGGGCTTCTGGGGGGCCAGCTCCAGGGAGAGGAGCTCTGGTACAGTGCCCACAGTGAAACGTGCGCTGAGATCCAGAAGGCTGCGGGCTTGAACCGAGCGGGCTCCACAGGGAAAAAGATGCAACCTGTGCCCGTGTGACTACAGCCCAGACACCTCATGGGCCACCCGACACAGGAGGTTCAAAGCAGACACCACGCCCACCCCGTCTCTATGAAAACAACTGACCACTGAGTGGGTCTGTGAGCGGCTCAGCCCTAACCACTGGGCCACCAGTGTTCTTTGTGCAGGGCTGCTTGGCTCTTCTGTTACTCACAACTGTCACTCACAGAAGACACTTGTGTTACACATTTACAGCGAGTTTCTCCTTCACAATTAACTGGGTCCTTTACTTCACAGCTGTGGCCCAGGTGTCTGTGAGCACCGCGATATGCACAGGGTCCCACTATGTTTCCAGCCAGGTGAGGACACTACCCTGTGGGCCTTGCCCGTGGCTCTGCACATGCCTACTGAGTTACTGTCCTGTCCTCAGTACTGGAATGGGGTGGTGCCCATGCTGACCTACCTCGGACCTCACTGTCCTCAATCTGTCCCTCTGCGTCACCGACCCTCACACACTGCTCTGTGCTGCCTGGCCTTCCCCTTGGTGTGCCTGACTCCCCCGGCCTCCTCCTTAGCAGCTTCCTGTATGGCGCTCTTGCACATGCCCCTCGTGGCTGCCCAGCAGGCCCCCTGTAGCAACGTGCTGGGGTAGGTGGGTGACATGCCTGGGAGGGGAGGAAGCAAGCACCGTGGCTCCGATGGCTGTGCGGAGCTCGAGGAGCAGCTGCGGGCAGGGCCATGGCTGGGGGCTGGCAGCAGGGTCACCACCTGCCTGGGATGGAGGCAGCCTGCTGTACCTGCCATGGAGAGGCTGGGGAGCAGCCCTGGGTGCCTAGTTGGGATGCTGACGGAGTAGCAGAGGTGGAAGGAGGGTGAGAGGCGTAGCGGCAAGCAGACAGGTGGGCATTGGCTGCATGCACACTGCAAGCCCCGGCACCCACCAGAGTGCTGCTGACAGATGGCGTGGCACAGTGGTGGCCCAGGGTGACAGCGGCATGTTCGGACAGATGCCAAAGCACGGTGCAGGCATGATTTAGGAGGTGCTACGCTCCTGAGTAAAGCTGCCCGCCTGCCTCCGCGTCCCCATACCATCTAGAGGACACGTGTACGCAGCCATCAGGATGCAACTCCCTCACACTGTTGACGGGATCGCATGGCCACTGGTTTGATATGGCACAGGGTGCACCGGCCAGGCTTTCTCTAGGAATGGGCAGTGTGCTGTGGGCTGCCTGAGGACAGCGGCAGCGTGTCTCCTGAAGTGCACTAGCACACAGTGGTTAGCCAAGCACCACCACGTATGCGGTCCGTGGGCCCCCGAGTCTCCACCCCTCCAGCTGGACGGTACCCAGGTACAACTCACCCTACTCACTGGGGAAGCTGGGTAGCTAGCTGCTCAAGGAAAACCTGATGGTAGCACCGCGTTCCTCACTCTGCCAAGCCCCACCCCCCAATCCAAGACGTGAGAACCCGGAGCACCTTAGACCTCATTCCCCCACGCCGTTCATGCTCCCTGTCGCCGCAGCTCGGGACTGCGCTATGCAACTCCTGTGCCCTCCCTGCGGACCCCTCCACTGCACCTGGACCATGGTCGCGACCGAATGAACGCTCCCTCCCCAGGACAGAGCGGTTCGTGGTCCGCAGGCAGCAGGAGGGATGCACAAAAAGATGGGGAACGTCCTCAGCTGGGCTTCTCATGGCGGTGCATGGTGACCAGCCTCCAGTGCTGTCCTGTCCACTACGGGTACCTGTTGCACCGGCCCTGCCCCCACTCCTGGCTCGGCTGGCCTGGCTCCAGCTGCCCCCCTCCCAACTCTGCAGGTTTCTGCACCCCATCCTTCTGTGAATGCCACCTGCACCTTACCCACAGCTCATAGCTGCAACTGGCCGGCCAGCCAGCAGGTGGACACAGACCCCACGACGAGTTGTGAAGACGTTTCTTTTAGAAAAAACAGGCGGTGAGTGGCAGCAGGCGGGCACCAGACCTGATGGCGTATCTAGCATTCCTCCCCACCATCTTCATCCTGAGCAACCCCCAGTTGACAGAGAGCCTCATGCTGGCCTGACACCGAAGGTCAAGGTCGAAAGCGTGGCTCCAGTCGACCTGCGTCACAGGGACAGATGGCAGGTCTAGAGCAGCAAGGATCTAAACTCAGGACAGATGTACCGAGTCATGGCCAGGTCAGAGATCCTCACCACACCTCTCTACACAGAGTGCATTCACTATCTGAGCCAAGGGCAACTGCAAGTCTCCCCACCTGCTCAGACCAGGGTATTCAGTTAACTTTAAGGTCATTTCCCAGTGAAGGGGGAAAACAGTAGGACTAACATAGCCAGTAAGCACACAGGTGCTAGGGAAGCCTGACAACCAGGGGCTCTCCCACCCTGAGGACCTTAGAGTAGAGAGCGGGCTGTGGAAGAGACACATCAAGGTCCTTGTCCCTTAAAGGAATGTAAAATGGTATTGAAAAAGATACTGCATTTTGGGTCCCCATGGCCCGCACCCCTCCGATAATTTGCAAAAGAATGATCTTGACCGTTTTGATCACAGTCACTCCAGTCTCATAAAAGCACCGTCAAAGGGGTTATGGATTCCACACACCAGACGCCCCAGTGTCACTGAGCAAGCAACTCCAAAGTGAGTGCAGCCGTGAGCAGCCGGCTCTCCCCACCAAGGTGCTGCAAGAAGGCAGCTTAGTCCCCTCCCAGGCAGCCTGGCAGAAAGGCCCCCCAGCCCAAGTCACTCCCGTGGTGTGACCTCAGCTGGGGAAACTCAGAGAGGACTCTGTACTTGGAGAGGGGTGAGGAGAGCAGGGGGGTAAGCAGGGCAAGAAAACCTCAACCTGAAGTCTCTCTGGACAGAAGGTGCTGACGGAGCCAGGAGCCAGAGGGGTGGTCCCCTTCTTCCAGCTCAGACCTGCTCCCCTGAGGACTTGCCACACATGGCTCCCAGGAATAGGGACCCTGACTCTGTTCCCCAAGTTTTCGCTCCCGGCTCTCTGCCTACCAGTTCTGTGCTCCCTGTCCTCTTCCCCTTCTCTCCCCCCCCACCCTCCTCCGCCTTGGGCCCTGTGCTTCCTCACCGAGAGCAGCCAGGCGGTCTCACCTCCAGCAGGGGACGGCTGAGTGTGGGACGCGCTGGGAGCAGAGTGGTGAAGATGTTGACGACACCATCCACCACAAAGGCCTGCCTGGCTGGTGCTCAGCACCGCCTGTTGTTCCAGGCAGGGGCGGGGGCGGGGGTAGGGGTCCGGTCTGTGAAGCCGGAGGCCTGGAACAACAATGGGCTGGGCGGACCTGCTGGTTCCCAGTACAGTGGGCAGTTC